TTGCCAGAAAGGATCATGAGCCGTAGGGTATAAAAATAAGGCGCCGTTTGTGCTTCATGTTTTGGCCATGTCTTTGCTACACTGTGATTACGAAACAGCTGTTTGATAATTTTCATAGAAGCAAGCATATAAATTATTTCATTGAAATTTATAAATCTATCGGGGTCCAGATTTCGTTTACTAAATTTCTGATAGACAATGGAAGCAGCTGAATCTAACATCAGCTTTGGCTACTTCCATTCTCTGATGCAAGTCGTAGGTGGTCATTTTATAAAAACTACCAAGCAATAGTTTGCAGAGGATAGACGAAATGTATCATTGCTTCTGTGGAACTACATTACGAGTGATATCACAAGAGGAGAATTTGCCAGATCGTCGGCGCAAAGCAGTCACGAGACCATAAAATTGTCTCTGACGTCACGTCTACAGCGACACCATTGCCTAGTGCATGGGTGGCGGCACGCGTGCCCAAAGTGGCACGTAACGAATCATGATTTCGATTTATCATCTGGGTTTTTAAATCACTCTTTCGGTTTATCACCCGATCCTTCTTTTCCAATCAGCTTTTTTACATTTATTTTAAATCACATTCGTTTAATTTACTTGAATATCGTTATTTAAAGTCTAAAACTTTGGCACGCACAAACATCGTTGTAGCCAAGTATGCTTACTATATGGCGCGCGGTCTCAAAAAGGTTCGCCATCCCTGGCCTAGTGATCTTAAAGCAAATGTTAGAATATAGTCATATAAAATGGGAGAAAATGTAGAAATAAAATTTTAAGTATATTTGAATTATTAATATTAAATAAGACTAAAATTAAACTTCACTAATATCTTATGTAATTTTTAGTACTAAATTTTAACTTTTGGGTTGCCCGAGTAGATGTAACAAGTTTAATCGCGGGTCCGCGCTTGACTAACGGGCTGACCACGTGGAAGTTCTCGGGGTTTCTTCACAATGTATTGATATATCTAAATAGAAAATAGTTTACCCATAGAAAATCCGGGAGGCGTTCTCTGTGGCAGACTACCCACACGTTGCGTTATATTCCATCAATCCAATCCACCTTTCGATTTATCCTTATCAATTTCGATCTTTCCTTATTTTTGATCATCCAAACTTAGCACTAGAGCATTGTTATTTATGAAAATCAGTGGTTCGGTCAGATACTTATTAGGATGTCAAATACTGTTGAGCAAGGAATCTATGAGACGTGCCCAAAGTAACACGTCGGAAGAAATCTGATAATCACTCTTATATTTAAAGTATATACTGTATATTACGTGACACGTGGACTAAAGGTTCTCCATTCCCACTAGTGTTTCTAAAGATTCGGACCATCTTTTGGACCAGAACCTCGTCCATTTATCTTTATTCACCATACTAAAGGCATTGTTTTTTTATGCTCAAAATTCACATTATTGGTAGCTTGGTAATTTTTGTTTCATTCTGAACAGATTGAAGCTTGGGTCATTTTATTTACGTAGACTAGTATCTGATTTGTTTGTTGCAATCGCTAATTGATCAACATTGTTACGAAATATATAGCTTAGTTTTGACACGAATTTATCCAAGTCATACTTAATTTGATCCTATTAAACCTACAAACATACCTCGAGACTAAGTTGTCTGTGCTATGAAAATATTAGCAAAAATGAGGGCGTATTAGTGATTTTAAGTATAGCTGTTTACTAAGAAAAACCGGGAAACTTTATGTGGCCAGCACGTAAACAACGCGCGAACTTTCAAGATCAACTAGTAGTTTTATCTACTCAACCACTGGTGGGAGTCATACACATCCTCTTTAAAAACGTGATTCTGCTTTTATTTCAAGAAAGCAAAGTAATTGCGCGTTTCCCCTTTTCTAAAATTTTAAACGTAGGAAAGAAAAATATGAATTTAGTTACCATTACAGCGATAGTGAAATTTACGATTACGATAGGTCGAAGGTATTTCTAAATATCCAAATTTATTCTTAATCATCGTTGAATATTTGTAGTAGGTTAAATCAGATACTTGAACTTGTATAAAATGGCACCAAGTAAACCAAATATAATTTTGTTTGATCATTTCCGAATCAAAACGAAAATTGCTACAAAAGTTGTAATATTTTATAAAGTTCTTAATTTCACTGTAAAAGTATACCATTAGAACTTCAGAATAAAATTAAAAAATGTAAGTACGAAAATTCATTTGACTTGTCCAAAACTGAACAGCAGACATTTTTAGATATTAATTCACAAATTCGGATTTTTTAATTAAAAAACAGATCAATTACTTTGGTTAGTAGTTATTTGAAAAACGAATTCAACAGTGCTTATGTTGTTGTACATCATAAGAACTGTTGCATATTAGTCATTAATTAAACAACTCAATGAAAGCAAACTGAGCAAAGTAATTTCATTTATTTTCTGGGCATTCAAATAACTACAGATTCTAACTTGGTCCTCCTAACCTGGAATGTTCCTCATGGAATTAGCAGTTAAACTGACTAAATTCTTTTATTCACAATATTACATGTCCAGGAAATACATTACTACTACATCCAGGAATAAATGAATTGCTGATTAAATACAGAACCGTATTCTCAAAAGATAAAATTTTTGATTTCATCATACAATACTAATACAAAAGCACCACCAGTGCCTCTAAGAACATTAGAAAAGGCACCCTTGAAGAAAGCTCTTCCACCTTCACTCTTATATATCTTTCCCCAGCAGTCAATTGTGTTTTTGTACATTCTATCAGCCTTGGCTCTTCCACTTTGCATCATCATACGTCTACGTACTGTATCAAATGGATAGGAAATAATGCCAGCAACAGTTGTAACAGTCTGAGCAATCATCCAAGAAATAACAATAGGGGTCTTCTTTGGATCTGGTAGCATTCCCTTAGCGGTATCAAAGAAGCCAAAATAAGCAGCTCTATAAATAATAATACCCTGAACAGAAACATTAAATCCTCTATACAAGCCAGCAAGGCCATCATGCTTGAAGATTTTTACTAGACAGTTACCCAAACCTCTGAATTCACGCTCTGCACCCGCTTTTCCGATGTCTGCAGCAAGTCGAGTTCTTGCAAAGTCAAGGGGATATACGAAACAGAGGGATGTAGCACCGGCTGCTCCACCAGATGCCAANGTGATATTAAAAATGCATTTAGAGAAGTCTATGGTTTTTACTGGCTTATTGAATAAATGATGAGAATGAACCATAGACCAGGGGTGGCCAACAGTTTTTGCCCCCGGGCCGGATTGGAAAGAAAACTTTCCACGGGGCGAACCAGAGGTTGCCCTAGGAAGATTTTGAGGTGGTGCAAGATCTCATTGTGGTGTCACCCCGTAGAGACTGAATTGTAGACAGAGATTACAGATACATTTCTCACATTATCATGCTTTATCACGATTTGTAATGGAGGGTTAACTCTAAACGCACGGTGAGTTGTTGACCTTTTTTAAGGCGTCAGAATCTTTCATCGAGATATTCAGACTTGACTAGCTAATAATGAAAGATTGATCGCGGCCCATATAAATTCATTAGACGGGCCATGCCTGCCCTAGACCATCACTGACGCACAGTTGACTGATTGCCCCTGGCTGTAGGCTTCTTACAGAATCACAGCTTCCCTATCATCAAATGTCACGGCATATGTTTTTAAATGTTTTTTAACAGTAATTAGGTCATGTCATTACTAACTGCAAGAATAATCATCAGAAAATACGGGAACCTATTTGCAGTCAAATTGAAAAAAAGGTCATTGTTATTTCAAAGAATACTTGGAAATTTCTTAAATGATCATGGATAGGACGGGAACTGACGTTAAAATCAGTATAGGAGTTAATTTTCTTCAAACTTTAATATGGTGTTGTGGACAGAAAGATGTGATTACGTTCTGATAAAAATTTTTCCAGGCCTAAATTTTTATAATGAATCAATTTTTAGTTAATTTTAATTATCATTATGAACATTTATGTAAATGGTAATTTATATACAGTATAATTTAAAAACAATTGTAAAATATTTTGCACTCTAAAATAATTCATACAATGTACAGTAGGTGAACATAATCCGTTCCAAGACTTTGTTCGTTATCCAATTATTAATTGACCTTAGGTTTTTATGGAAATTTGATTAATTCGTTCCAGAGACTCCAAAAATAAAAAATATACTTTTTTACTGCGTTTATTTATATGTAATAGTAAATATATATATATAGTCTTGCATTTTTATTAGTCATATTTTTTCCGTTTGTGGGGTTAAAGAATCTGTACAATGTTGATTGCTTTTCTCTTTTCTTCAGGATTTTTCGGAAGTAATTAATAGTATTGTAATTGTAGAGATCCCTTCAAAACATCTTTAGTAACGGATGTCCACATTGGTCCTCTTTCGTCTTCCTCTTTTTCAAAAGAAAACACATCTCGCTGAATTTCATGGTATTCATTTGAGAGTTCTTGGAGTTCTTCCGTCGTCAGATCAGTTTCAGGTTCCATTATGAGCTCTAAAATTTTCTTTATTTCTTTCATAGCGAAGATTGTGCCTACTGTAGACCTGTTCAAGCCATACTGCCTAGCAACATCAGACATCTTGTGCCCATTTTCTACCTTGGCTATTATCTCTTACTTGGATAAGATTCTAGAACATTAACCGGAAGTTGGGTTTTTCTCGCTTTCTAATAAAATTTATACTATTTTACTTAAAATGGAATCTATAATGCAGAAGTTTCGTGAAACTACTAATGGTATTATGGACGAAATTAGGCAATATTCTCGCCGATTTCCGAACGCTAAATTTGGAGCTGATTGCCACTTATCATTTATCTTAACACAATTCTCGAGATTAGTCGAACTTGCTGAGGTAACCCTTCACTGTACAACAATAACAATGTAATTAATGAAACATTATCAGGATTAGTAACAAAGGAAGATTTATTAAGATTTACAGAAACTCAAAATAAAGAAACTAGCAAAATTATGAAGGATATTCAATATACCATGCTTACCAATAGGGAAAACATATCAGATGATTTTAGTGGAGGCAACGACTCTTGTCCTTCGAGTTATAGGGATGTTCTAAAGAAAGGATTAAAACCAACTCTTAATGTAAGTGAGCCGCCTCCGCCAAAATACACAGTACTTGTTTATAGCAATAAGAAAGAGGCTACTTGTGAGGAGACAAAAAAGCAATTAACAGACAATCTGAATCCTGGAGTGTTAGGTATAGGAGTACGAAATGTTAGAAAAATAGGAAATGGAGGTATCGCTGTGGATTTACAACACAAAAATGAAGTCAAATATTTTAAAGAGAATGCAGAAAAAATTCCTAATCTAAGTGCAAAATTACCTAAAAAAAGATTACCTCTGATAAAAATAGCATCAGTACCTAAATGTGTAGCTAAAGAAGATCTAATCTTACAAATTTTTGAGCAGAATGCATATCTATTAGATACTTTTACTGATAGAATCTTTGCTGAACAGGTACACATTAAGTTCTCATTAAATGAGAAGAATACTGAAAATGTCTCCTGGGTACTGGAAGTAACTCCAGAGATCAGACAAAAGATGATAAAAGCTGGGAAAATTTATCTACAATGGTCTTCATGTCGTGTTTATGACTACATTCCAGTAATACAGTGTTACAGATGTCTATCTTTCCATCACTTTGCTAAACGTTGCCCTGAAAAAGAAAATATATGTAGTCACTGTAACGAGAAGCATCTATTTAAATGTTGTCCGAATAAGCAGAATCCACCCAAGTGTATTAATTGCTCCCGAGGAAATTTAGACAATAACGATCATAACACCATGGATAAAAATTG